GCAGCACGGGAGGAAGAATTACGTCCAGGAGCAAATGGATAAAAATAGACCGGAGGGGGAAAAAAAACATGAGTCGCTACTCATGTGGACCTGTCGATGTATCGGATCGACGGCTGTTGGATCGATACAAAACGATTATTATTTACACCCCTATTAATTAACAGCTCATTGTGTTCAAGTACTTTTGTTGTGGCGGAGAAGAGAAACATGTCGGATCCAAAGATTATTCGGACCTGTCCTGGAAGGGGGCCAGGTTTTATCTCTGCTTCTGTCTCCTTGAACCCCAGTCGGCCTCAGCAGATGGCCGCTCACACTGAGCCTGGTTCTGCTGAGGTTTCTTCCTGTTAAAAGGGAGTTTTTCCTCTCCACTGTCGCTATAACCATGCTTAGTGTGAGGTATTGAATCAGAGTCAATGAGTCGATGCAATCAGCTGGTTTTCCTTAGATGAAAGGCTTTGAATCGGTTTGACTGTGTGGACTGTGTAGTGCCTTGGGATGACGTGTTGTGAATTGGCACTATATAAATAAACTGAATTGAATTGAACCCGCTACTTGGGCAAAAAAGTAATATACCTCATAATTAATCTGCTTCATGAAGAAGTGGATGCATCAAATGCATCGACTGACTGCTAGAGAGCATCTGATAAAATCAAACAATAGTTTAATTGATGGTATATTTTAAAATGTATTTCTTACAACATTGTGTAGGCTACAAACACATCTGGACAGAACGCTTAAAGATGCAGTATTCACCATACAGAATCATTTTGCTGCTCTCTGCCATGTTGAAAGGTCAAAGTTTGTTATCTCGGCAACTCGGGTATCATAGAATTACCCACAGCTTTCCAGTGGTAAGATCTGATGTGGAATTTTCAACAATATAATATCTTTATTTTGGTAATCCATAATTTTTCTCAGTCTGATTTTTCCTAAGTCTACACATCCTCTAACCTTTTTTTCTGGGGGGCAAGGATTCACCCTATTTTATGTGGTTTAGAGGGGCTAGTGTTGCTGGTTATTTGCTTAGACCCCTTTGGGTGTCTTGTATGGAGGTTTTTCATTATTAATGAGTTAATTGTCTGATTATCGGTCACTTTATTTGAATCAAACATAACTTTAAGGAGGACTGAGTGGTGTGTCTGGTTACAGATCCCTCCAGTGTTGACATATAAGGGGGAATCCAGTAGGTTCTAGAGTCTGGTTACAGACCTCTAGCAACATAATCTTTATCTAATTAGAGGAACAGCTGGTTGTAATGTGTGAATGGGTTTTTGTAGTGGGGGTTTCGACCAACACGGGGTCCTTGTTTTTAACCAGTCCCTCTTTCTATTAGTATGTGGTGTGGTTCCTTTCTTTTGCTAGCCCTAACTAGTTGTTATTCCTAAAAGGTAACATAGCTAAGAAGCTAGATGGAACTGTTCTGGGAGGATTTAAGGGAAGATGTTTTCACTTTGGTGGATGTAAGTGGCTGTTTACAGCCCACTGCCAAAAAAGAGCAGCTGAAAGTTGGTGGTTGAAGTTCTGGGTGAACTAATCAGCTATTATTTTCTTTACCTGTATTTATTTTTAGGTCCTGTTTTGGTCGCTAGTTATTGACACAGTTGGTGCTTTCACAGGAGGACTCTGGCTGTACTTCATTTGAGCTAAATCTGAAACAGAATTTTAGGGCAGCGTTTTGGCCATTTAAAGGTATAGAAAAATCTTTTATTTCCGGGTAGATCATCTAAATAAGTGGTCTTCCTAATTGTCAATAATTGTGGTGATATGTTTACGTAAGGCCGTCCTACGTGCTCTTCCCGTTAGCTATCTTTTTCTGTGCGTGCGCACTTTCTGGTGTATATGTGTGATGAGCTACGGATTCAGACAGACATTGAAGCTTACCTTTCTCACCACGGTTCTTTGAAAATGGCCTCAGAAGAGGAACATGTATCCCAGAATGCTTTGCGCGGAGAGCTCTCCGCCCTGTCCCTGCTGTATGTGGACAGAGCAGCACATTTTATACAGGGCGTGCATGAGGAGAAATGGGCTTGTGCATGCTCTTGCACGCACTCATACATTTTTAAATCAAACATAATATCCAAAAGCTTTAATGTATTATATTTAAAAACACAATTTTGTCAATCACTTCTGAAGAACAAAAGTATTGTAAAGGATCAGAAAACCTTTTTTTTTTTTTTTTTTTTTTTTAGTGTTAGGACCTGTGTCAATACTTCCACCTCAAGGTCATTAAAAAAATGCTCACATTTCCTTGCTCTTTCTTAAATCACTTAACCTGTGAGGTCTATTCATATTGTACAAATTAGTAACCTAGATAAAAGTGAACAAATTTGGAGGCTATTTTGAAATTTCACATCAGATCTTAATGGTATTTTTAGATATTATTAACTTGTAAGCAGTTACTAGGGTAGATACTGTCACCCTGACCTGAAATCAGTGATTGGAAATGGGCGGCTTTCTTAGCAATATTCATAGAAACTTAGATAAAAGTGACCAATTTTGCTAACTTTGAGAGGCTTCAATTTCGAAATTCCACATCAGACCTTGATGACCAACCATGCAGGGGAAAAATATGAGTCTTTAATGTCCACTTAACATGTTAAGGCAAACCATCCCATAACTTGGGGGAAACAACTGCAATAGCCCGATATTCTCTGAGCTTCATCTTTGCCTTTGGAACGAACTGCTTGTTCGCTGAACGTAGAGCCCTTAATGAAGAGAACGAGTGGAGCTTTTAAGACATTTACAAAAAGGATTTTTGAAATCTGTAGCAAACAGGGAGCAAGTGAAGGAGAGAGATGTGATTGCATGTATATTTGAGTTGGAAGACAAGCATCTGGATTTAGGATGAGCTAAAGGCAACAGAGATCAGACTGTCAAATTCAGTTGTACAACACATTAAAATAATCAATACATGGTGTAATACAGGACACAGTTATTCTTTCCTGGATAAAATGGTCTCTATTCTGGTCATTCGTTTCAGTAGAAAATAACTTGTTTTACTACATAACCAATTTGTTTAACAAATATCAAGATCAACAACTTATGTTTTATACAACAAAATTGGCACTTGAAATGTCACCCTGTTTGCACAGTGAATCAAAATTAACTTTAATGTGCTAACGGGGTCGTTGGGATGATTTTATGATTTGTAAAACCATTGAGGAAGCATTTTAAATGACTATGTTGTCTGGTTCTTCTGCAGCACACAAGCAATGATCCATATTGTTTTGTGGAGTTCTATGAACGCAGAGATGCTGCTGCAGCCCTGGCAGCCATGAACGGCAGGAAGATTCTAGGAAAGGTAAGAAGAGTATTGGGTGAACAGAATTAAAAATTGTCTCTTGTTAACAATATTTACTTTTAATATATATATATTTGAATTACCTGCTTTTTTCTTCCTTTGCTTTTATATTTTTAGGAAGTTAAAGTTAACTGGGCAACCACCCCAAGTAGCCAGAAGAAAGACACATCCAGTAAGTGAACCGTCCTTCATTATTGTTTATTTTTTAATCTGAACGATGACCAGAGTCTGTGTTTCTAATGGGAAGCTCATAGGAAAGCTGGATCTGTGTTTGAATATCCCCTCAACACAGTGAATGTGGTGTGAGACAGAAGGATGATGTCAGAAGTAACATCACAATTTCTCCCACCACATGATGAACTCCTTCACAGGTCCTCCTTCTGATCTGCTGTTAGACTTTAGAATCATCACAGCTTCCTGTTTACAGCCAAGCTGTGAGCTGCACAGTTTTTTCACCTTTCTTTTTTTCATTCAGTTTCACTTAACAATTGTTAGAACTGCTGCAAAGCCGTAGCAGTTATGGCCCATATTTACCAGGGGGGCCAAGAAGGGGTCAGCATGATTCCATGTGGCACAGCAAAGCATGAAACAAAACAAAAAACAATGAAATAGTTTATCATCTTACTTTATAATAACACACCCAACACCCAAGAGTGGCTGCGCACTCAATGAAACATCTTTTTTTATTTATTTATTTTTATTTATTTATTTGAATTAGGACAATGCACATTCATCAACATGTCAGCATAAAGCATCAATGTAAATATGCCAGAATTAGCAAAACAGCTAATTTGCATCCGCTGTCCTAAGGCAGGTAAAAACGGTGAACATTAAACAAGACGCTACACGAGAGAACAGAGTGGACACAAACAGATAAGATGCTAATAACATAAAATCACAATAAAATGAGGTTAACAGGCCCATGGAAACAGATCAATTTACCTGTGAACACATGTCTGGTTAGTTTTTAACCAATGTTTCAAGGAGAATTTAAAAGGTATTTAGGTTACACAGCCCCTAACATGAGCTGGCAGTGTGTTCCATAACTGTTCTCCTCTGATGGATGCAACCATTTGGCCAAATTTGTTCCTACGCCTATAGAATCTGTTAGAGGAGGAGCAGCAAGTCCATTTAAAACTTTATCTCCATGTATTTTACTTTATTTAGATTAGGGCTGCAAAAAAATCGATGAATCGGCAGATTATTTTTTCGATTAATCGATGAATCGGACAAAAAATATTTTTCATATTAACCTCTTTATTCCAAAATAAACATTTTAGACAGAACAAACAAGCACACAAGTACAGGTTGCTCATTAACTGTACTGGTGCAATATGAAAAATAAATGTTTGTGTTAAAACTACGCAAACTTACATGAGAAATGTAGCTCCACAAAATATAGGCTACTTTGTTTCATAAAGTGCAAAAAAAGACATTTTTGTTTTTAAAAGCCCCTAAGGGGTTCAAACAATAGGCCCCCCCATTTAAACAAATGAGGTTTTTTTAGACTAGAAGAGTTCTGCCTTTTAAGACAGGAAAGTATAGCAGTTAAAGTTGCTACTTGAGAAAATACTGAACCATAGAGATAAAAATAGCCCTGTGATTCAAATTATAAATTGTATTTGGAATAAAAATGAGAGAACTAGGGGTGCTAAAAAACACATCCTCCAAAGACAGATATTTACATGGGAATGTGGCAGATAATAAATTGACATATTGCTGATCTTGCTGGATTTTATGCTTTACTTCCATAAATTGCAGGATCTTCTTTACTTTATCTTTGCCAGAAGATTTAAACTTTAAAAGCCTTGCCCTCATAATTTGCAAGTTAATTTATTTATAAAGAAAATATAAACGCTGCTTAAGCTAATTCAAATGAAATTAAAAGTAAAATAAGTAGCCAACCTTATCACTGTCTGTAACCTACTAACACGGTAAGGAAAGCATCAGATGAGCTACCTGAGAAACTAACGTTACGTTTCCCCACTTTAAAACGAAACAAACATGGTGGTTCCGTGCCATGTTCATTTGTTTTGACAAAAGTTGCATGTTACGACTTTTTTCGCTTTACAAAGCGCAGGCTATTTTAATTATTGTGATCAATTTGCGCCGTCAATCCCGGTGCATGCGCGCTTCATTTGCAGTCTGGACGCTGAGGGTAAACATCCTGCGGCTCTGTCTGCAGCGCTGAGAGGGAGTCCTGCGGGAGAACGGGGTGGGGATGGGGGAGGCGCCCCACGGCAGAGTAGGAACGATACATGCTTTCACGTAAGAGTCTCCAAAAGTGACACCGTAAAAAGTCGCTAGATTTGTCGCTCGTCGCTTTTTTTTAAAATAGTCGCTGGAGGGGTCTGAAAAGTCGCTGAGTTGGCAACACTGCGCCCTGCGGCGTTGACTCGCTCTGCCGTATTTTTTTTTTCTTCCCCTGTTTCAGTCAAGTGGATGTGATGACGGCGGCGGCGGATGACGCATTAATCGCGCAACACAACTAATCAATGATGAAATTCGTTGCCAACGCTTTTAAAAATAGATTTTTATTGATTTTATCGATTCGTGGTTGCAGCCCTAATTTAGATTTTATTTTGTTCCTATTAAAAATGTGTATTTTGATTTGTAATTCCTAATTACAAATCAACTAATTATATAGTTACCTTATATAATTAGTTGCTAAATAAATATCTACTAAAACTTAAAACAAATCTGTTCTTAGGAACATTAAGTTCATAATTCAGGAATATTATATATTTTATGACATATTTTAAATAAAAATGACCAGTTTTAATTAATTTAGAAGTAGAACATTAATTTAACTGTAACAAACTAGAGTTATTTATTTTTTTTCCTCATTTGTTTCAAAACAACATTTATCAGATGAATACGACTGAAGCTATCGCCTTTATTTTTATATCATAATGAAAACGGAATTATAAATTAAAGAACTGAAATGGGTCCAAGAGATGTATCGGTCATTGAGTCTGTTCCTAATCACATCGGTTAAAGTTTTATTAGTATTAGGTCTTCAGTGGACGGGCCATAACAGTTCTCCTGTTAGCCTCTGCCCTGAACTGCCCATGTTGCATAATATTTTTATTTTCCTGAGATGGTATTATTATTTTTTTCCCTTTCTTTATAGTCTGTTTTCATCTGTTTGGGATTTTTGTTCTTTTTAATTTTTAATAGTTTTATGTGAACCTATTTGCTTTGTCACTGACACACCTCACTTTACCTACTGTGGGCATTTCTTTTATATTCTGTATTTTTTATTAGGTCATTTTAATTAAAGTGCTTTTGTGTTTTTTGTTCTTTAGATCACTATCATGTTTTTGTTGGGGATTTGAATCCAGAGATAACTACTGAAGATGTCAGGGCTGCATTTTGTCCTTTTGGGAAAATCTCGTAAGTTAATTTTCTTTTCGATTATTTGTTGTAAGTACATCTTTTTATTGCCAGACATTTGGTTTTTCATAAGATGGGTGTACACTGCTTTTTAAAACTGCCTTTAAGCCTAAACTCTAACACTGCCGCCTGTGATTTGACCATGTTTACATGCATTCAACTCAGGGTTTTAAACCCCCTGTAAAATATAAAATTATGAGTGCATTTAGGTCTGATTTCTCTCAACAGATTGTCCACTTAGCCATACTTACTGTACACCACAGCCACTCGCTTTGGGAGCTAATGCATCTCCAACTCCTACTTGCAAAATTAATGAATCCAAAGCTGTTTTAAGTGGCTTGTCTGCAGGTTTTCATCCTCTCAGATCAGACTTTGATGTTTTAGTATATTTTCTTCATGCATGTAGACATGGTTAGTTGAAGTATTAACTCATTTTTACATCTCACATGATTTAGTAACCATAAGTTTTGGTGTAACTTAATGGGATTTTGTGTGATAAACAAATAATTAGAGCGTAGCTCTGAAGTGAAATGAAAACTTGCCTTTGAGAGCTGTGGTGTAAATATTTATTCAGAGCCCTCCTGTTACCCTCTTAATAAAATCCAGTGAAACCAGTTACCTAAGGGTTAAGGGGCGGAACTAAACAGGTTAAATAGGTTTTGGAAATTTTATAAGCAGAGACTGTTAAACTGTAAAACAATATAGCAGAACTCTTTTGAGTGTAACAGCACTTCAAACTTGCTTATACGCAGTCATCTACCTAAACTCGCAGCCCAGGAAAGGAGAGCAGTTATAAAGCAACAAAGAAAAAAGGTCCTTAGGAAATCAACAGTGAAGAGGCAGCAGAAAGCCACACCATAGGTGGGAAGATTTAGTTTTGCACTTAAAAAATTTGGCTAATATAGCAGATTCCCAAGAAGAATTACATTAATGAAAAAAGTGACATGAAGTAAAAAGCCCACAACACGGGAAACTTGCAAGAATCTGTGGCAGAAAAAAATAATAAAATACATGAACCCCAGGGTAAAGCATGGTGGTGGCAGCATCATGATGTTTGGATGGTTTTTCTTCACCATGAACAGTGAATAATTTAAGAGCCTCCTGCAAAATACTTTAGTTGAAGGTAGAGGTTTATGTTGAAAACAGGACTACAGTCGAATAGTTTAGATCAGTCCTTCAAAAAGGGCTGACGTCCAGCGCGTTTTAGATGTTTCCCCGTTTCTTAACGGTCCCTGGAGTTCTTGATAAGATCCATAGGAGCTTAGTAAGCCATTTAAAAAAAACGCCCTAAAGCAGAAAGTCTTTGAAAACACGCAGAAGGCCAGCCCATTAAGACTGACTTTAAACACCCCTGATTTAGATCAATATATATACATGTATTAAGATGATCCACATAAAAAATAAACCTAAATCTAAACTAAATTTGAGGTAAAACTCGAAAATTAAAGCATTTCTGGAAATGATTTTTCATTTTCAAATTTTACATTTCAAATTGAATTTTGGTATGTATTTGCTGGGGTAAATTTTGAAAAATAAATCTCAAATGTCTTTTTTTTCTTTTAAGTAAAAGGATGAGCAGTTTTGAAGAAGAAAATTAAAATGCAAATATGATTATAGATTACTAATTTCATTTATGAGCCAAATAATGCAGCCACATTCTTAAAATGAAAAAGCATTTCTGGAAATGCTTTTTCATTTTCAAATTTTATATTTCAAATTGAATTTTGGTATCTGTCTGCTGGGGTACATTTTGAAAAATAAATCTCAACTGTCTTTTTTTTTTTTTTTTTTTAATTAAGTAAAAAGGTGAACAGTTTTGAAGAAGAAAATGAAAATGCAAATATGATGATTGCTTACTAATTTCATTT